TTGCAGTGTGAACAAACTTCACACCCAGCTGTCCAAGCTCCCTTTTTGCACCTGAACCCAAGCCATGTCTTTCTGAGCAACAAAGCTTTCTCTGGAGTTGATGGTAAAGCTCTCACCCAGTCGCTGCTGTCTTTTTTGGTTAACACCTTCAAATGCGGAAGCCACTTGCGGCGATTGATGTTCCAGGTGGTGACGACGGAAGCTTTGACCATGGCTGCATGGAGATGTGACAGTGACACAATGACAGTGACCAGGGAGACTACAGTAATTAAAACGATATTGTTGCTGATGAAGCACTGTACTATTATTCTTCCTGCCAAGTTGTTCTGAGGCCTTGCCAGCTGCTGGTTGCCAAGCCAAGGACTGACTTGCTGACTTTGCCGGACTTTGCATTGCAGTTTTTTGCGCTTGTTGGCTTTCTTCATTTTGAACTAAACGGCCCCTGGTTCAAGTTGACATCATTCATAACATTGGTAGTAAACACAGCTCTTTTGGTACAAGCCGCTGCTGTCAAAGCTGCCATGGTGCGCACCGGAAAGTCCATCAAAGGGCAGGGAAAACCTGGATCCAAAGTGAAGCAATTGAAAGTAATGAAAAACCAGAGGGCCATGAAAGTTGTCAACCCTAAGAAAAGGAAACGTGGCCAGGCAGACCCATTGGTTGGCGGGGCTTGGAAAGCTTGGGTCAATCATCTGCAGCACTTGGGGCCGACATGGCTGTATGTCTTTGGTGTGATGAGCCACTGCCTCTGCGCAAGGGTCACTGAGGTGATGAAGTTGACCTTGGCTGACATTGATTGGGACAATGGTACAGTTCACATCGACAGTCTCAAGAGGCAAACATCAACTAACAAACCAATGCTGAAAGCTTTGTTTGACATAATGGCTACATGGAAGCAAAACGGTGGAGTGAGGTTCACACGTACACGCAAGTGTGGAAGCCGCGGGCTGGTGACCTTTCAAGATCACTGGTCTTGGCCAACAGAAAGCAAACCAGAGTTCTTTCCAGCAGTGCGCTCCGATTGCAAGACCAATGTGATGAACAAGGACAGAGTTCTTCTAAAAAAATAGTTTGGAAAAACACACCTGAGTTGGATGTCACATGTTCTTTGCAAAAAACCCTTTGTTTGTTGACTTAGTTCAGGACACAGTTTCTGCAGCTATAAGACGTGCAAGGGCAAGCTTTGTGCCTCCAAACGTTGGGGAGGTCAAGGTTGCCAGCATCAGGTCTCACTCAGGAAGACATCGCGCAGTCAATGACCTGAAAATGCACAACGTCAAGACCGAGGTGGGCAAGCGCTTTGCCAGAATCTCATCGGAGGCTGTGTGGGCAAACTATGGAAAATTGACAGCCAAGCAAGCTGCTGATGAGCTCCTGAATAACAAGCAGCTCCAAGATGACTGGCAAAAAATCTATGCTGAAGGCCATTGACAATGAAGCCTGGCCTTGTTTTCACCCTGGGTGGCATGGTTAAACCACAGCTCAGCTCACGCACATGCTGAAATGAAGTCACTGTGAAAAAAGGATTTTTCTCTTCCCGGAGCGGTCCAAGCTGTGCACTGAAACTGTCTCACTGAAAAGGGTTGTGGGCCCTATTTTCCCAAGGATCATTGACCCTGTCCAGCAACCCGGCCCGTTTCAGGACTCTGGGGAGCAGCCTTTCCAATACATTCTGGGACATCGCATTCCCAGCAGCTGCTCCGACCTGAGATTGGGTCAATTTGGCCTTTTTCACTGATTTCCTCAGTAAGCGGATGCCTTGCAATCGCAGGGACTCCTTCACCCTCAGTCTGCGCCCAAGCTTTGTCACATAGAAACCACTGCGCCCCCCTTGAGGCAGTAATGGTTGGTGACTCATTGAGTTTCCACTGCCTCAAATGCAACTATTTTTTTCACAGTATGCATTTGAGTGCTTCTAAATTTAGTCTGAGGTGCATAAATTTCTTGCCAGCATCCACATCCACAAAGGTGTATGAATCCTTGGGGTCAATGCCCTGGTCTTTGCAATCCTGAAGCGCTTTCCTGGAAGGCAAGAAGCACCGCTATTGAAACACTGAACATTGCACAGGACTAATAAGAGTAGAATCAAAAGAAGCTAGTGAAGAATAAAATGAACAATCCAAGGCCAAGTCCTCAAGTTCCGTGTGAAAGTTTCAGACCTGCACTGGTTTTGTTCTTCAACAGTCACATCATCAAGAAGGAAATGCGTTGGATGAAGAGCTCCCCATGGCAAAGGTTCTGGAAAGTCAAAGTTCTTCACGTTCAAATTGGTCTTGAAGCCCACCATGTATGTTCTGACTCGTGCCTGAGGTAGACCATGGTCAGAGGTCTTCAAATCTTTAGTGAAGATGCTGTACCCACTCTTCACCAGTGCACCTTTGAACTTCAGGTACCCGGGCCTGTAGCGCCGCTGCTTCCTCCAAGCAGGCACGTTCTCTAAGACAAAGGCCCGTGGCTGTTTTAGATGGATGTATTCTCCACTCTTCCGCATGATCTTGGCCCTGAAGTCGCTCCACCCCTTACGCTTCCCAGCTGTTGAGAACGGTTGGCAGGGTGGACCTGCCACGTAAAGATCTACCTGTGCACAATCTTTGTTGCTTCGCTTTAGGACATCCTGCCACAAGGCCAAACCAATGTCAAACTTGTTTAAACAAAATCTGTTAAACATAGAAAAAACTTACAGAACTCTCATATCGCAATACAGGATGAAACCAGTCCTTGTAGAAATGCTCAGGCTTGAAATCAAACTGGATCAACTTAGCAAGGCGCTTGTGCTTCTCACTTGCAAACACCAGCTTGTGAGGCACACCCACACTGCACAGCGCCCGGCATGGTGTCTCAAGGCCTGAAAAATCAGTTCCAACCCTCACTGATTTCACCATGGCCCTACCCAAGACACCAACCTGAGCCACAAGAAACTGTGAAGCAAACTGTGAATGACATCCTTCACAAACCTGTGCACCATGCCGGCAATGACAGTGAACAGTGACAGTGAACAGTGAAAAATGCATGCACAAGCTGAACAGCAAGGCTTTTTCCATGTGGATTGCAGGGCTCAGTTGCATGAATCACAGCCAGCAGATTTAAGAAATAGGTGGCTATCGGTCCGGTCAGTCAGCAGTTGCCCCAGCTGCCAAAAGAAAGTTCTTTGTTTCACACCTGGTTCTTAACTAAGTTGATCAAGTTTTGGATAAACTGGAAAATGTGCAGCCATCACACTGACTCAACCAAAGCTATCAAAAAGCCTGTCACTGGCATACATGCGTCCTAGCTCTGTGTTAGAGGCTCCAACACTCACCAACATCACACCAAATGTTGCTATCACATAGACTGTCCGGAATCCTGGTCATTGTCCTGGTCCTCGTCATCCTCATCTCCGTCATCCTGGTCCTCTTCCGACTCATCGTTTTCCTGAGCATCATCTTCTTCATCCATGTCTTCGTCATCACCGTCCTTGCCCGCCTTCTTGGCCTTCTTCTTTGCCTTGGCCTTTGCTTTGGACTTGGGCCCTGACTTCGATTTGGCTTTGCTCTTGGGCTTCTTTCTGCCAGTGCTCTTCTGGCCGCTCTTCTTCCGCTTGGTGCCCTTCTTCTTATCAGAGTCACCCTCGTCATCACCCTCATCTTCAGAATCCACATCCTTTGCTCCATCCCCAGTGGCAAACTTTGGTTGGAAGTGCATGGAGGTCTCCTTCTTGAAGAGGGTCAGGACATAGGATACCAACTCCTCACGTAGCAAGGTGAGGTGCACATCAGAGCAGCAAATGCCAATGTAGCTCTTTCTCATGGCAATGCATGCCTTTGCTGCATTTCCATCTCCTGACAAAAACCAAAAAAATAGTGACACATCAACACAACTGCACAGAAATAGACTGAACAAGCGTTGGAACACTCAACACGGACATCTCCTGCCGACATGTCGTACACGCCCTTGCAGTGGTATGATGAGAAGATTTCTTTGAAGAACTGGATGGGCATTGACCAGAATGAAACCGGCTCCACATTGTCATTGTTGCGGTTCTTCGGAATGTAGAGGTTGCCAGAAGCATCAATGGCCATCGGAACAATTGCTCCTGCCTCTGTGACTTCCTCCTCCTCACCATCCTCATCATCAGCGTCAACCGAAGTCCCTCCCACAGGAACACGAGCCTTTCCATACAAAGCCTTCTTCTTTTCAAAGCTCAATTTCCAGCACTGTTCCCACTTTGGGAGCTTCACCCATGCCAAAAGGTTTCCTCTATTTGAGCCCTGGTAATGCTCGCGTTTCTTCTCAGGCACTGAAAATTGGCCACTGGTGAAAAGTGTCAACCCTTCCGATTGCTCCACAGTGGCAACACCCCTCACACGCATCTTGCGGGATGTCACACTCTCTTCACTGTAAGCAACTGTTACCACCTTTTTGTTGAGTTTCCCACACAGCGTCTTCCCCACGGATGCCATGCGACCCTGCACTCCAGGTTTGCCGCCATCAAGGAACATCAGAACATCTCCATCATGCATCGGCAGGACCTCAGCGTCAACATCACCCAAAGAACCACTCCGTGATCTCAAAATAGCGGCAA